GAAAAATGGCTTGCGCTGTCAGACACGATGGTTTCTGGTACACCGAATCTGGCAAACAATTCCTCCAAATAAGCTTTGACGGAATGGCTTCTGTCCATTTCGTCAGAACGTCTTCCACAACTATGGCATGTTTTGGGCCGGGAACTCCAACGTCATAAGGACCCAGTGTATCGATGGAAATCATCTGCCAGGCTCGCTTGGGCAGATGTGTTGACATCGGCGCCGTAGATTGTGGTTGTTTGCCCTTGATTCGTCTGCATATCAGGAATTTCCCCACATATCTTACCACGGCAGCTCGTATCCTGTCCCAGTGGAAACGATCATCTATGGCACGGAACTTCTGTCCACTTCGTCCTTTGGGCCTGTGTCGTTGGCTTCCTGGATTCGTCACACCAGCTCTTGGGTAGTTGTATCCACAAGCTGTCCTTTCAGTATTTTCTTTACCAGCGGCATAGTCTGCAGGAGACAGATGTTTGGTGTTGGCATCTCTTCCATGTGGTTTCTGTTGTGCTGGGGATCTTCAGTCGGATTTCTGGACAAGAAATCTGGCAACTCGTTGGTTTTTCCTGGTACATGTTCCACTTTGAAGGTGAATTCTTGAAGTAACAAGGACCATCTTGTCAACTTCGCTCGGTCATCTCGATGAACCATAACCACAATATTAAAAATTGGGACGAACTTGTCGTAGAATTAAAGGCTCATTTTCTCCCCACTGACTATGTCGATCAAGTCTGGGATAGTATAAGAGATAGGTACCAAAGAAGAAATGAACCTATTCATATTTTTGTAGCTGGTATGAATACTTTGTTTAGTAGATTAGGTCAAAAAACTCCCAAAGTAACAAAATTAATATATATGTTACCACAGTATGTATCACAGTTAGCTTTAACTCCCATTAACTCAATAACTGAACTTTTGTCATTATGTAAAAAGATTGACAATGCTAATGTACAAAAAGGTAAATACCATCCACCAAGTCTTAATTTCTCTCTAGAACCAAATTTGGCGTACGTAGGATCTAGTAGTCCTTCTGCTGACTATACAAATCAAAATTATAAAAAACCTAATACATTCCAAAATATAAAGCCAAAGGGCCAAACTAAAATAACTTCTTTAAAAAATTAAATAATTTTTCTGAAAAATCAAAAGAGATAAAATGTTATAATTTTCAGCAAATTAACCATACAAAATTGTAGAGCACCACGAAAAAACAAATTTTGTTACAGGTGTGGTATGTTAGATCAAACTACAAGAACTTGCTCTTGTTCAAAAAACGAGTAAATGAGGAGTACCCTTTTAAAAATAAATATATGTCTGTAAATTTTAGAAATCATAAGGTTACACCTCAGTTTTTTTATAAGAATAAAGCAGATATTTTTAGTTTAGGTAAAAAATTAAATTATTTTGATAAGTCTGATTGGGATAAATGTTTAAAAACCTTTACAATGTTCCCGAGGTTTCGCCTATGTTAGTAAATAAATGTTTAGATAACCGACCTTATATCATAGTAAATATTTTTAATATTAAAATTACAGCACTTTTAGACTCAGGTGCAATGCAATCGGTTATAGGAAATAAAGGCTTGGATTTAATTAATAAATTTGATTTAAAATTAGATAAATCTTTAGAAAAGTTTGTTGTCACTGCAGATGGCAATATACAATTAGTGTCAGGGTGTTTCTTTACCACTAGTTTCAGAGAATATTTGTAAAGTAGTTCGTGTTTTGGTCGTTCCCTCTGTAGAACATTCTCTTATTTTGGGTAGTGATTTCTGTAAGTTGTTTTCTGTAGAAATTAATTTTAGTAATAATACTTGGCATATTCATAATAAAATAAATAACTACAATTTTTCTCTTTCAAATTCTAATAACTTGGGTCAAATAAATTTTATAAATTCTTTGGATAATTTATCTGAGTTAGAGAGAAGAGAGGCAGATTCGGTTATAAACTCATTTAAGGACATTTCGGGGAAGGAAAAATTAGGGGTTACTAATAAAATTATGTTGGAGATAAATACTGGTGATGCAAAACCTTTTCGCATGCGTCAGTACCCGATGTCACCGTACATGTTAGAATTATTGAATAAAGAAGTGGATGACATGTTAAAGTTAGGGGTATGTGAACCTTCATTTAGCTCTTGGAGTTCCCCAGTTCTCTTAGTGAAAAAGAAGTCTGGTGAAATGAGATTCTGTTTCGACGGTCGACGCCTAAATTCTGTCACTAAACCGGATGCGTATTTATTCCCGCGCGTTGACCGTATTCTAAGTCTTCTGGGCGAAGCTCGTTATATTTCTTTCATAGATCTTCGTAAAGCCTTTTGGCAGATCCCTCTTCATCCCGATTCAAAAGAGAAGACGGCGTTTTCTATCCCTGGGAGAGGACTATTTCATTTCACCCGTGTTCCATTTGGTCTCATAAACTCCACGCAAACCCAGCAGAGATTAATGGATGCGATATTCGGTCCGAAATATGAACCAAAAATATTTGTTTATTTGGATGACATTATCCTTACTTCATCTACTTTTTCTGAGCATATACAACTGCTTAAAGAGATAAAAACTATCTTGCAAGATGCCAACCTTACTGTAAATCTAGATAAATGCGAATTTTTTAAGACATCTTTAAAATACCTAGGTTTTATAGTCGATCTTTATGGCCTTAGAACAGATCCAGATAAAGTTGCTTCCATGGTGAACTATCCACAACCTTCTAACACCACTGAAATTAAACGATTTATTTTTCTTACTTCCTGGTATAGACGTTTTATACCTCATTTTTCTTCTCTAGTGTCTCCTCTTAATTCGTTGCTCTCTGGAAGAGTTAGAAACCAGGGAAACATTCAGTGGACCAAAGAAGCTGAAGAAGCTTTTATAAAACTTAAGCAAGCTCTCGTAACGGCCCCTATATTGCAAAGTCCAAATTTTAATGAACCATTTATTATTCAATGCGACGCCAGCGACACCGGTTTAGGTAGTGTTTTGTTGCAAAATATTGAAGGAAAGGAATCGGTCATTGCTTTTGCAAGTCGATCACTTACTAAGCAAGAGCGTAACTTATCAGTCACACAGAGAGAGCTTCTCGCAATGTTATTTTCTCTTGAAAAATTTAGGATGTACGTCGAAGGTAGGCATTTTACCCTTGTGACTGACCATTCAGCTCTTAAGTGGTTAAAAAATCTACAAAATCCTACTGGCAAATTGGCTCGTTGGTCGTTAAACAATTTGACTTTGATGTTATTCATCGTAAGGGTAAGTATATGGTCGTTGCAGATGCTTTGAGTAGAATTCCTCCTTCTTTAAATATTCTAGACGTTTCTCTTAATGATTTAGATAAGTTTTATTTAGATCGTCGAGATAAAGTTCTTAATAAATCGGAGATGTTTCCACAATGGCAGGTTTTTGATAACTTCCTATATAAACATGTTCCCTATAAATATTCAAGATGGCGAGCACGACGGTTGTTGGTGATAAGCCTCCTGACGAAAGTGCTACGATTTTGTGCAATCATCGCAAAAAAACTGTCAAAGACTGTGTATTCTGTGTTAAATGTGAGGGTAATTTCCACCCAAGTTGTATCAAACAAGCAAACACTGTGAAAAATCCAAAGTGCCTCCATGTGAGTGAAGACGAGGTTATGGGCGAAAAAAAGGGAGCAAATAGCAATTAAGCAATAGAAAATGCTCTATTAAAGAGAATTATTAAAGAACTTGAGGGCAAAAACGACTTATTGGAGGAAAATATTGAACTACTAAAAGAAAAAATCGGTTATATCGAAAAGTCAAGAATTCCCCAGAAGATGGCGCAGGCGAAGTCAGTGTGAAACTCAAAGGTACCTTCTATACCAGCAAAACTGGCAAATGACCTCTCGAATTCAGCCACCGAGGAAGTCGGTAGTTCATATGTTTAGAAAGTGACAGCCAGTACCGGCAAAGAAGCAGAAGAAGAAGAGGTTAACCTCAAAAAACAAATAACTGAACAGGTAAATAACTTCTTCATTAAAAATAAGGACTCAATTACTTCAAAAAATACAAATTCATGGGAAATTGTTACCAAGAAAAAATACAAACCTAAAAGGTTAGGCACTGCAAAAGAAAATGAAACAGGTACGTTCTCTGGAGTGGAGAGACGACTCTGGCTATACATAAATAGGGTGGGAAATAATACTACAGCCAGTGAAATAAAGGAATACATAAGAAAGAAACCAGGTTTTGAAGATTGTCAAATGGAAGTAAAGGAGCTCGAAAATAATTCCAAATTTAGCAAAAACTTTGTTGTAATCGGTCCCTTATCCAAAAAAGATGAAATGTATGATCCCACTTTCTGGCCCAGAAATGTGGGTATAAAAAGATTTTTATTTGATAAACACAGTGGCTTTCTTAACAAAGAAACTGGAAATTTTTTATAACACAGTATAATACAAAGGTGGGCAATGAATTTATAAGCAGTGCATATAAAAACCTTCAATACATTGGAGAAGACTTACTGGAAACACCTTCGAAGAGGACCAAGAAATCAATACATAAAAGCAACTTAACAAATTTTGAGAAAGCATTTACAATATTAAACCTAAACATACAATCAATAAAAACAAAAATCAAACAATTAAACATTTATCTAATTCAAGAAAATATTGATGTTTTATGTCTGACAGAACATTGGTTAAATCAAAACGTAATCAACAATAGCAATGTTTCAAATTACAATATAAGTAGCCACTTTACCAGGGAGAAGCACATACACGGAGGAGTGTTAATTCTTACAAAAGAAAATGTAAAGGCAACCAACATGAAGGAAATTGGTGACTTCGTTCGGAAAAAAACGGCGGATAGTGTATAAGCAGCTTCAGTGCTCCCAGTGAAATATTAAATTTTATAGTGTTAAATAACTGAACAATTTTGTTAAAGTTGGACAAACAGACTAATTACAAAATTTCCTTCAAGATAACATATAGTGGTCTAGTGAAATTCCCTTATTTATAACAAAAATCTACGAAAAACCAAAATGGTTTTAACACGTGAACAGACAGAGGAAGTAAAAAATTTAGTTGACGTAGTGTTGAAACAATTGTGGAAAGATGATACATACGTAAAAAACATCACGGCAAACGTATCGCAAAGCATAAGCGAAGCAATAAATAAAAAACTGGACAATTATGAAAAACAATTAACAGCTGTTATTGAAGAAAATAAACAAATAAAGAATAATATTATGGAATTGAAAGATGGTCATAGTACGGAAATAAATAATTTACATACGTTAATGAAGGAAAACTATATTTCAATTGAAAAATTCGATAGAATGGAGCAAGAATATAAGAAAACCAATCTACGGATCTTTAATATCCCAGAAACTCCACAAGAAAACACTAAACAAGAAGTACTTAAAATATTAAACAATAAACTAAACATCCAAATAAAAGATGAAAACATAGAAAGCTGCCTTAGGATAGGCAAACTTAACAACGCAAAAAACAGAGGCGTATTTATAAAATTAAGTAGCCTCTACATAAGGCAAGAAATATTTAAAAACAAGAAATATCTTAAAGGATCTGGAATTGTAATTAAAGAAGATCTAACAACATTAAGATTGCAGCTTGTAGACGCAGCAATTAAGAAATTTGGCCTACACAGTGTATGGACGGACATGGGCAGGATATATGTCAAAATAGGCAATAACATTAAATGTGTTTCTTCACTGCAAGAACTAAATATTATATAATCTTTATTATCCTTTAAGTAATTTAGTTTGTAATTTTCATAGTTTAAAATGTCATTAATTAATCTGTTTTCATTGGGTGCCCAGAAGATTGATTTGTATACCTTTATTTTTCTTCTCTCTTTTTTTTAGTTTCTTTTTTTATCCAAATAAATTGGCTTTTGTTTTAATTGTTTAAACATATAATTTTTTTCTACTATTTAATTAGGTTTTAAACAAAGTAAAAATGAATGAATTTTTGGATAGTCTGAATGGGGATGGGGTTCAGGGATGCAGAATGTATAAGGGAATTGAAGAATTAAAATATATAAATAGAGGTGGATTAAATGTAATTCAATTTAACATAAGAAGTATTAAAAAAAATTTTGACGAGTTGCTAATTCACTTACAAACAACTGAAATAGATATGGACATTATTGTTTTATCCGAAACATGGAAAATAGATCAGGTAAGTAATTTTCATATTGAGGGTTATAATGCTTACTACAACAACTCAAACTTTAACCAAAATGACGGTCTGATTATCTATACAAAAAATAACCTAAATGCAAATGTGGCTGTAATTAATTTTAGTGAAACAAATATCCTAAGAGTAAACATCAAACATAATAACATTGAAATTGGCATCAATGCATCATATCGCTCACCTGATCTCAATTTGATAACATATATAAATGATTTAAACAATTTTCTGAGTAATACTAACGCAAAACAAGTAGAAATGTTCCTAGGTGACATAAATATTAATATAGACAATACTGCAGACATAAATGTCATAAGCTATTTAAATATTCTGTATGAACATGGTTTTATATCTTACATAAATAATTTTACCAGAATTACCAATACGAGTAAAAGCATTATTGATCATATTTTTATAAAGTCACAAAAAATCAAATGCATGCCTTTAATAAATGCAGCAATTATAGAAACATATAACTTTCATTAATCTATATAATCCCTCGTGTAAGACTGAAACTTTTCTAAATACAGAAATTAAAACTATCGATTATAATAAACTTAATAAAAAACTATCAAAAGAAAATTGGAATGAGATCATTAACATAAAAGAAACACAGCTAGCGTATGATATATTTATAAATAAATTGCAAACTAGTATAAATGCTTCGACTAAAAAGATCAAAGTCAAAAAAGGTGAAAAATATAATAAAATTAAACCATGGATTACTCATTATATAATTGATGCAATTAATCATAGGAATAAGCTAAAAAAAAAAGTTAAATAAACATTACTCTGAGCATAGTAAACAAGAATATAACCAATTTAGAAATAGATTAAATGTTTTAATAAAAAGTACAAAAAATGAGTATTATAAAAACCAAATAATTCATGATAAACAAAATCTTAAAAAAGTCTGGACTCACATAAATAACGCTACAAATACTAAACCTAAGAAACAAAAACTAAGTAATATACAAATATACAATGAACAAGACAGACTAATAACAGATAAAAGAGAAATCTCTAATATATTCAACAACTTCTTTATTAACATTGGCAAAACTATGGCCTCGAAAATTGATACTAATTTAATCCCAATAAATTATAATTCCTTAATCCCAGCGTCAATATATTTAAAAAGAGTTGAACATAACGAAATTGTTAAGTTCATCTCTAAATTGAAAAATAATTCTTCTCCTGGTCCTGATAAAATAACTTCCCTCTCAATTAAAAACATCCACAATCACATTATAACACCCTTGACACATATCATTAATTTATCATTTACTACCAGTATTATACCTCATCAATGGAAAGACTCGATTGTTACGCCAATATATAAGTCAGGGAACAGAAAAGAAGTAAACAACTACAGACCCATATCCGTCATTTCCAATTTTGCAAAAATTTTTGAACAGTGCCTCAAAACAAGGCTTGTCTCCTTTTTCGACTGTTATGAAGTATTTTCAGAGAGACAGTTTGGATTTAGGAAAAATAAAAGCACTGAAAATGCCGTTCTGAATTTTTTAAACAAAACTGTTTCAACCTTAAATCTAAATAAGAAATGCCTGGCTGTCTTTTTAGATCTAGCCAAGGCTTTCGACACTGTATCTCATGAAATACTGCTTGAGAGACTTGAGAGCGTGGGAGTGAGGGGTATGGCTCTGAAGTTGTTGAGAAATTACTTAAAAAATAGAACCCAAAGGGTAAAGATTGATTCATGTTTAAGTGAGTCTTCTGAAATCATTATGGGCGTACCGCAGGGGACGGTGTTGGGCCCAGTTCTCTTTCTAATTTACATTAATAATATCATAAATCTACCACAATTTCAAGGTCATCTTATATCGTACGCGGACGATACAGCAGTGATTTTTGAAGGGGACTCATGGGAACAGGTCTACAGTAAAACAGAGGGTGAAATGAGGAAAGTCAATGCTTGGTTATCTACTAGTTTGTTAAGTCTGAATATAAGTAAAACAAAATTTATCACCTTTTCTATTACAACAGAGGGCCAACCAAATATGCCTGACTTATATATTCATAAACCAACCTGTCACGAAATTGATTGCATGTGTCCTAAAATTTCGAAAACTACCGAAATTAAATACTTAGGAGTTATTATTGACCAGTATCTAAGATGGAATAGTCATGTACTATATATTAATAATAAAATCAGATGTCTTATTTACAAATTCTATCAACTTCGTTATATCCTAAACAGGAAGAATCTCTTTCTCGTGTACACCGCGCTAGTGGAATCAATTTTAAGATACTGCATAACAGCATGGGGTGGTTCTTTTAACAATGTGTTAAATCTAGTACAAGTTACCCAAAATTCTATCTTAAGAGTGATTCTTGGAAAAAATAAACTACATTCTACGGAAGGGTTGTACATTGAGGCGGGATTACTACCTGTCAGAAATATATATAAACAACAATGTCTAACATGGATGCACGGAAATGAAAATTTTAGTATGATCAATAATGTATACTCAACTAGAAGCATGCAAAATAATCAACTTTACTTACCGCTTTTTAATAGAGCTCACTTACAACGTACAGTATTATATCTGGGACCTAAACTCTATAATGCCCTACCTAATAATATAAGAAATATAAAGAATGAAAAAAATATAAGGGGGTCATACAAATATTTTTAATACAAAACCCCAGTTTTTGCAACTCATTATTCTTATAGAAATAATCATATAAATATTTTATAATAACTGCGTTAGTCAGAATAGTTTAATACTTCTCATGTATTGAATCTCAAATTTTATATTCTGCTTTGTACTTATCCCCTCCCCAGTCAGCATTTTGACATCTCAAAATTATGATCTAATATAATATATTTTCTATTGTTTTGTCAATCATAGGCTGCATATATCATCATTATAAAAATGCACAATACAACCATATATGGTTAGGTGCTATATACTGATAAATTTGTATATTTTTTATAATTGTATCTTATACAGAATTTCCGAATAAATGAATTTGAATTTGAATTTGTCTATTGAGTTGGATGTTGAGATGGCGGCCATTGAACTAAAAACAAAACATATAATAGTATTAGCAGTTTACCGATCCCCTCATGGTAACTTTATAACTTTTCTAGAACAAATAAATGAAGCGCTAAAAATTATAACTGGAAAGAAAACGCACAAGTTTATTTATGTTGCTGGAGACTATAATATAGACTTTTTGGAAAGTTCGCAACACAAACTGCAGCTCTTAAACCTATTTTCATCACATGGAATGGTGCCAGAGTTCAATACACCATCAAGAGAAACAAAAACAACATCAACTTGTATAGACAACGTAATAACAAATACAAACCTCAACCTATGTGCTCTGCAAACATGCAACTCACATATGTCTGATCATTACGCACAAATTATTCGAGATCCAACTCACATGATGCTAAAAACAGAAGGTAGTAAACTAGTAAAAACACGTAAAGCAAACATAGGAAATACTCACCTGTTTGGGGAACAATTTCTATCCATCCCATGGATAGAACTCCTACAACAAATGAAAGCAAAACAAGCCTACAAAGAGTTTCATGAGGAATTTCTGCGTTTACACCGAATGTGTTTTCCTCTAGAAACAAAAAAAATTAAAAGTGGGAAAAATAATAAAAACGAATGGAGCGAAGAAACACTGAAAATGAAAAGAAGTTTGGATGCCTTAGCTACCATAGCACAAGTAGTCAAAAGCGACGCCATCTACAATTTGTACAAAGATCATAAAACCAAATATAACACAAAAATCACTGAAGAAAAACGAAAAGCAAATACAAATTTTATCAAGTCATCAGAAAACAAGCAAAAAGCAATATGGAAAATAATAAAGGAGGAGACAAACAAGCAACCAAAAAAAGCACTTGTTGAAGAAAGCAGAACAGTTTAATCACTACTTTGCAAATGTTGCTCCCACACTACTCTCTGATTTTCAAACACAGCCTCTCAAACAGCAAGCAACTGAGTTTCTAAAAAATGTAAGCATAGACAACAAAAATACACTATTCTTTGCACACACAGATGGCTACGAAGTATATAGAATTATAATGAACTTAAAAAGCAAAAATTCCGAAGACATTTATGGGGTTTCAACACAGATCCTAAAATGGTTAGCTTCCTGCATATCACATACTGTGTTGGGGGTGCAAAGCGCAATGCTGAGCACAGTGCAATTAAGGCACTTGTAGTTTTCTCTTATAGACTTTAAACACTTAATGTAAATGAAGAATAAAAATGTGGACTGTATTTTATAGGTTTATTTTTAGAGACCTTACAATAGCTACTTCTATTTAAGACTGATTTTAAAACACAAATTATATAAAATGTGGTGGGGACAGCCGAACTATACAGAGCGG